TCTGTGCACCTGGTAATCTTTTCAAAGTGATCTGTTTGCATTTATATTCTTTAATCTATTCATTCAGGACTGAAGCACTCAAATTCTTAATAGAAAAATAAATTAAATAAACCTAGGTCCACCAAAAAGAAAGTGTTTGCAGGGTCCTTTTATCCAGCTAGAATTTCAAATGAGGAGGCAAATGTAGGAAACCAGAAAAAATACCAGTTGTGTGGAGACTGCATTTGCATTAGCAATTTAATTTGGGTCAGCAAAGAGTTTGGAAATGAAACTTGCAGTTCTTTCTACTTCGCCCATTTCATTTTAATCAGAGTTCTCTTGAGGTATGGATTCCTTTTGGAGGAAACTTCACCAAAGGAACTGCATCAAGATGGAGTCTAGCTGTAACTGGAAGTCTGTCTTTGAGAATGGTCCAGAGATACTCCAGAAAAACTGCTATGCACAAGGGGTAGTGAAACATGTGCAGTGTGGATTTCAGGCCCTGAGCAATGAGTCTTCTGCTTTAGTGGTCTGTTTCTATCACACCACAGAACTTGTTAATACAGACGTATCTTCATCTTTTCAATGCCAACTTCTATCTAAAAGATAAGTGCTTTTTATTATCAGTATTTGTCTTAACCGCTTGTATAAGGCTGGATCAGTCTGGAACCTGTGATATCAAAGTATTGATGTTTGAATCTCAAGAGAGAAAAACAAGATAAATTTAATCATGTACTTACATGAGGACATTGCTCAAACTCATCTAATTCTCTTTAGTCAGAAATAGCTCAAGGTCATAGATAACAGGAATATTGAAGTTACTATTACTTCTGAATTCCAGCTGAAATAAGAAAATCCACAATTAAAACTTTTCCTGCACTATTCTTGCATTTATACTTTCAGTAAGGATATTGTAGTCTGAAGATTGCCTTATGCAGCCTTGTAAGAAACAGCAATTTACATAGGTGTTTGATGTGCAGCAGTCTTTGCGAAATAGGTTTCAGAAGGTTTGTGTGCAAGTCAGATGGATTTTCATTTTTATTTCATATTTGGAAAAATTTGTGAAGAAGGAAAGGGAAGAAACAAAAAAATAAAGTAGAGACCACTGCAATTTGTTTCCAACAGTGTCTATAATAGCATACAAGAAAGAAGTATGATAACATAATTTTTGTTTTGTGTTTTTTTTCTTGAAGCAGAAAATGGGTAAAAAAGGAAAAATCTTTTATTTGTGAAATATATCTGGTTGAAAATTACATATGGAAAATTACTTTTTTTTCAAGATAACTATAAAATAAGCAATTACAAATATGATTTCTCTATTGAGTATGTCCTCAATTTTTTCCTTTTTGGCTTTGAAGCATATTTTGTTAATAAAAATAATTTGTGTTTGAAAAAAATTAAACCTGTTCTTTTGCAGTAATTACTGTATAGAATCAGAGAGAAATAGATGTTCAGCTAAATATGTCAGAAAAGACAGTTTAGTACAACATTTCTTTTACATCCTAGTCCATAAAGTTAGATCATGTAGTTACAATCTACAATCATTTAACATTATTATATCAAGAAAGACCAAGTCAGCCAAAACCACTTATGTCAGCAGCTGTTGTTACACTGAGTTATAACATCATTAGTCTGACAAGAGTTTTCTGATAGATTAGCCTAATATAGGATTGTACTAAACCAGTCATACATATTAATCAAAACAGATTACCTACTATGATAAAATTGCTCAAGAAGTCATAGGAGATGAAATATATCTAAAATTATAGGAAATAAAAGAAGAAATATTAGGTAAATAGGTGTGTGGATGCATATGACAGAGAAACACAGAGAGCAAATATCTGGCTGCTTAGCAACTTGTTCATTCATCTTCTGTGTAGAGACAGTTGCTGTTGTGTGGTTATTTCAAAGAGCCAGGCAGCAGAATTCAACATAAAAGCCTTTGACAATGCAGAATAAAGAAGGCAGATTGAAGTATTCTGTGTAAACTTCTGGCTGGCACAGAAACCACAAAGCTATCTCAATCTCCCGCTTCTCCTTAAGATAAGTTACTTTGCACTGTGAAAGCCAGAGATGAAGGATGAAGCCAAAATGTATTGTAACATTCCTGATACTCCATACTGTGTCAGGAACAAAAGAATGCTTGCTCTTTCTCAGGTGCTTTTGATTGTCCTGAGTTCACTAATTTCTGTGTTAGCATTTTGAGAACACAGAAAGAACATTGCCTTTACAAGACAATGTGTTTGGGTGAGTTTATTTTAAATTTACTGTGAAAGTGTATCGCTTTTATTGGAGAGAGTGAAATTTTTAGGTGCAATCAAGTGTTAAGATATTTAATGGAGGACATATTAAACAGAGAATTTAGATTCAATATAAATAATTTCTTCTTGCTCTTGCTCTGCCACTCTTCAACTATACTACATTTTTGCATTCCTCAATTTTTTTTTGTAAATTCCTATACTAAAAATATAAATTATGTTTAAAGATGCTTAGTCCTCCATATTCCAGTCACATAAATGCATATATGACTACCTTGAAGTGGGAAATGTGAAATTGGATAATTCATTCAGAAATATTTAATACATCAGTCTGACCTTCTAATGTCTGTCAGGCAAACCTGAAAAGTTCCTTTAGGCTGTAGAGCTGCTGCTCAAAACAGAGTAGACATTCAGGTTAATTTTTGGGGACTGTGACTGGGAGTTCTGAAATACAGAAATAACTCAAGGGTCAAGTGCAAAAGATGAGGGAAAACGGAAAATGTTGTTTCAAGGACTGAGGCAGAATATTAAACTCTTGTTCTTTGAGCAATTAAGATTTCTAAAAGAACCAGGAAAGGCAAAAAAATCTAACAGCTGATTAACTGATTTCCTTGCCTACTCTTTGAAAAAGAATTACCAGTGTAAAGACTGCATTGGTACTATATCTTTTATTTTGTAAGGAGAAGCTCTGTAAATAAGTACTCTGAACAGAGAAAACACCTAACTCATGTTTCTGTTTCAAATCACAAAATCTTCTAAGGTCACTGAAGTGTAGTATATCTTGAGAAGGGAAATATTTGTCTATCCCAGATACTAGAATCTAACAGATACATGGATTATATGAGGCTCTCTTTCAGCATTTATCACTATCTGATAAGTTTGGACTTTAAAAATATTAAAACCCAAACCATATATAATGTGCAAAATAAAGAAAACTGGGTTACTGAGAGTATAGGTGTACACTAAAAGTCAGGGCCTTGCTGCAGAAGCAGCTTGATGTTAAATGGGCAAAACATTAAAATTATATACTCAGTGAGCATCATCAAATCAAAAAAGGATTTGATCCAGTTTCCTCAGAAAATTCAGATCTATATCATTGCCATCCAAAATCTAAACTGTTATTACATGCATTTATATGTATATAAAAAATGTGACTTAGCAATGTATTTTCCCTGCAACACAGTCTAAACAGAGAGTGACTAGGATAAAACACTATAGAGAATACAGGAAAGAAGTAAAATTCTGTGGAATTCTTATTTATTTCAGTTGTTTGGTTGTTTTTTTTTTGTTTTGGTTTTTTTTTTTTTTTTTTTTTTTTTTTTTTTTTTTTTTTTTTTTTTTTTTTTTTTTTTTCAGTGTACTATATTAATTTATTACTTATCTGTACATAAAATTACCTCCCCATTTTAAAGACAAAAACTGGATGCCACTTTTAAAAGACTTTTTGTAATATTTTTTTAATGTGTTTACTTAGCTCTGTTTTGTAGGACAGATTAGAACTACAATAATTTGAGCTTTTTTTGTTCAAATACAGCCTCTGCTTAAATCCCTAAGAATTTTGAAAGAAAAGGTCATAAAATCTAATCTCTAATTCTAAATTCTGTGTAGGGGACAGAAATCTCTAGATAAGCATCCTGTCACAGACTACTGACACTGTCACTGACATAGTCACCATTGCATCAAGACATCCCAATATAGATCAAAATTCACTCTCCAGACATCACCTGGGTCTCACAGTAGACAGCACTAGGAGAATCACTAAGTGCTTAGATTTCCTCAGATTAAGGCAAGAATATTTTGGGTCCTGGTGTAGTTCTTGTTGTTGGTCCAAATTCCAGTTTGTTGATAGATTAGCATAATATAGGATTGTTTTTAAGTAAAGTACAAGAAAAAAATGCAGAAATATTAGCAATTTACAGACTATGTATCGAGCACAATATATAGCTTTAGATTTATAATTAATTCTGGTTAATAGAATATAAGGTTGGAAGATGTTTCTAAAGACCATTTACTTGATCTCTGGCTCTAAGGATTGTCAATCTCACCGTTTATTGCTAATCGACTGTGAAATATAATCAAACATTTCCTGATTTATGAAAGACCTATACTTAAAAACATCCAGTGATTAAATTGCTGCTTTCTTATGTGATATATTCAGTATGTGAGGATCATTAAACTGTTGTTTCCAATATCAAAGCTAAATCTCCCCTGCTTCAATTTATCTAATTAGTCTTTCTACAACCCCAAAAAAACCATAGGGAAACAGTTTACTATTTTCCTCTATGCAGAAACTTTTTACATATTTGAAAGTTGTTAATAAATGTCCTTTCAGGCTTCTCTAGAGTATAGGAACCCTACTGTTTCAGTATTTTTAATAGGTCATATTTTATAGACCCTCCAATGAGCCGTATTTTCTGAAATAATATCTGGAGGACATGGTAAGCCTATTTTTTTTTAATTGGAAACTCAGAAGACAGTGGGATTAATTCAGTCATCCACTCAAAGGTAATTACCTGATATTAGATGTACATTTTCTACTGTTTTGCAGATATAAGCAGGAGTAATCCCCAACAGACTCAATGTAAGATATTTTCTCCTTTTCACATGAAGTAACTTGTTACACCACAGTGATAATGATTCCATAACATATTCTCATCTGCCACATATTTTATTCTGTTCTTGTAAGAATAGACAACTGAGTGGAAGGTAACAGTTATCATGAGAAGCTATACTACTAAATACCACAAAAAAAAAGGGCCACACTTGATACAAGAAAGTTTATTTCACCTCATTAACATTTGACACATACGTCTTAGCACTGGAAATAATGACAAGTCAAAGATGTCATTTTTATATTTGCAAAGTGTAAGACTATAATTCTTTAAGTAAATCGTCATTTTCTCTGGGTTTTTTTTTTGTTTGCATTTTTGTTTTATTTTGATTTTTTAAATGGGAAGAGGATTTGATAATGACTTCTTTTCAACACATGCCTGCAAATATGACTGTTTTCACCCTGCTCATGCACTGAATCATGCAACTTGAATTTTGCTGGCTGACAAAACCAATATTTATTCTGACATATGGCAGCCCTCCTCAAGCTGAAGGAAACAACTTGTGAACTTTGTATATTTTGAGGACTGGCAGAAGGTAGAGCCTTTGAACAGTTTCACACTCTTCCAGGAAGAAGGGCAGCAGCTGATGGAGCTGTCATTATGCTTGGAAGTGCTCTCAGCCTTGCTCAGGAGTTGCATGCATAACTGCAACTGCTGACCAAATTACTCCTTGATAGGTGACAACAGAAACAAAGTGATTTCTCCAGTTTCACATCTCTGCCAACCAAAAGACAACCAAAGATCCACTTCCCAAGGTTATGTATGAACCTGGAATATTTCTGGCGAATTTTTTTCTGTCTTTCATCTCGGGGACATGTGTGAAGTGTTTCCTCAAAGTCTTGTTGAGACAATTTCACTCTTATAAAGGAAAGACAAAAGAGTAGTAGCTAGGTGGGTACAGTTCCAGTTCATGTAAGGGTCAACAACCAGAGCTGTGCAGATCCATGTGGCAGGAGTAAAAAAAATTTTCTTATCATCAAATTTTGTTATTTATTTTCTTTCCTTTCTTCCTGATGTGAAGGACACGGAATAGCAAAGACTGTAACTCTCTTCCTTTTGTTTCCTTTATCCTTGACTTCTCTCTCTGGGCAGAGGGAAAGTCTATATTTATGTTTGAGTGTCCAGGCTGTAGCAGAAAAGAAGCAAAACACTTTCTAGAGAACACATTAAGAAAACCCCATAAAGAATAACAAAACTAAATCCTTTACAAATCTCATTATCAATTTTCCCCAAGCTTATTATTGTAACTTCACTAGTTTGAAAAAGCAAAGGATAATAGTTTTGCCTGACTAAACTGTGGTATTTCTACATTGACTGTCATGATCTTGCTGCAGGCTGACAGGCAGCATAAAACAAGTGAAGGTTGTGTAGAAAATGAATCATCATTGAAAATTGATACTAGGCATATGAAGTATGTCTTATTTTCACACTTATTCCATTTCATGTCCTATAATTTAAAAAAATGCTAGGTAATTTTCTAGCATTTGTTCAAATCTGGACAAAATATTTTACAAGTGCAATCGAGTGTCTGGAACCAAGCTGGGTGTCAAAGTTCAGAGGAATTAACTAAGAAAAGAATCTATATGTTCAGGAAATCAGAAGCTTTTTAGCAAATACCAGGTATTCTTGAGGAATTATATATTTCAGGGTAGACATACAGTTGTTCTGCATTACTTAGAAAGAATCAGGATTTCTCTTAGACTGCTTGAGACTAAATTGCCTTTTGTACTGCTGTATTTCATATATAGCCTGTCTTTGGCCTTCAAGCATAAGATATGATTAATTTTGCTCTTACCATATATTTCATCTTCCTTATTTTTGGTGTACTCTAATATCATAAACATATTATACAAAGAAAATAAAAAGAACATACCACAATAGACTCTGCACAATAGCCTTGCCATGAGAAATTTTTATCTGGAAAGGTCATGTGTTTTTTAATATTTTTATTAAGGGTTAGACATTGCAATCTTTATCTACAATCTTGCTGGAAATTTTGACATGGCCTCCATTATCTTTTGAAGAACTTAAGCTGTGTTGTGAAAGAAAATATGAATCACATGGTGTCTTCTAAGTTTTCCTTTATCATTCTGTGGATTACAGAAATCTCATCACAGAAACCTCATATTTTTTTAGAAAGTAATCTAAGTTAAAAGGAAAAGAATTTCCTACTGTTGGAAAACAGTAGGGACTTAAAAACTTTGAAGGAGTTGACAGTATCTTAAAATTTTATTTGGGTTGGGTAATATTAGATAATTGATACTTGGTTCTTTGTTGAGGCAGTGGCAGATAATAGTCATCACAATTATCAGAAGTTGATTTTCTGTTGTACAGATAATTTTATTATCTTCCACTATTCTAAGAACCTTTCATTAAAAATATATTTATTTTTTTTCAAGTCATGGAGTACAATAGTGAAAGATAAAGGTAAGAGTGAATTGGAACTTGTATTTTTTGGTTAATATAATCATTGTGTTCTCTATAGCATAACCAAAAATACAGAAGAATGAAATAAAGGGCAAAAACTAGGATGTCAATTTTGTAGGAAAACAATAACTTTCATGCTTCTCTTGCATCATCCTTTCATATAATCATTTACCCCTGCTTGGTGACACTCAAGACAAATTGTAAAGACCAATACGGATTCCAGAGCTAATGCCTGCATTTCCCTGCTTCTGACTAACGCAAAAGAAGTTTAGTTCAAAAAGATACTGGAACTAAATAAAAACAATGCCTTATTTTTATTTATTATGGCTGTATATACTCCCAAGGATTTGCAAAGATTCTTTCCATGAAAAAATGTAGCAGAATATCACAGTGTCTCTACTTGTGCAAAAAGACAGAGGAAAGGGAAGGGCTCTCAAGAGAAAGCAGGAGAAGCATCCTGACAGAAATTGGGCAAGGGATGATGGAGATATGTGAGCAGTACTCAAGAGGAGATGCACCCTGAGCCACTCAGGCCATTGACTAACCTTTTACTCAGCCAAAATCACCAAAAGATGAGTGATACACTGTCAAAACCGAAAAGATCCTTCAAGCAGATGTGGCCATACTTATTTTAAAACTACAGTCTAAGTGTTTTCCTAACTGAAGACTGTAAATAGTTTGAATAAAAGACCTAGACTCAGAAACTCCTCTATTTCAACACATTTAGAGGTAAATTGCATTCTTTAACAATAGAATGAACCCATGTGTACTATGGTTCAAAAATAAGAAGCTTTTAAGACATTACTTTTCATGATAGATAAAGGATATTGAAAGGTCATAATGGGATTACATTATAATCCACAGGTAAGAGCAGGATTCATGTCAAAGGATTTTAGCTATAGTTTTATTAAGCTTCCCTCTTACTTTGAGAGATTAACTAGCAGGACAATATCTGACACCTGATACAGCAACAGAAAGGATTTCTGTGGTGTTCATTTTGTATGTTTGACAGTAGCACTAATGGAAGAGCTGAGAGCTGAGCAGTTTGGAAAGGTTTACTCTGTGGTTTATGAGTTTGTTTAGAATATGCTTTCAAGAATAAAGTGCATAGTAAGAGCACATTTTAAAATTACTTTATTTAAGTATATTCAGTACTCATGAGCAATTTAGGAAATTTAATGTCCTGGATGTAAAAAGGAACTGCTATAGCTGATATGAAAACTAGCCTTGTAGATACCTCTGAGATAAAGAACTTCTAATGAATGTATCCTGAACATTTCGTCTTGCAAGTTTGAAAGAATAAGGGAGATTTTAGCATTTTTTTTAGTTGTTAAATATGTGTGAACTCACTGTACGTTTGAAAGTCAGATAATATAAATAATTCTCATCAGGGTGGAATAAGTTTTGTGCAGAGCTAGAAGGTACATGGATTGTAAAAAAGCACTCACATTTGAATTAATAATGAACCATGGTATGATCTACATCACACAATCATCATTTTACATAAATGGCATGAAAACAAAATAATGAACCTTGCAACCTGAGAAGCCCTGCTTTGCCTCATTTCAAATATAATTTTTTTTAATTTTCAAAGATGTGATTCTGCTATTGATACAAATGAGTGCTATTGATTTAATTATTCTTTTTGCACATGTATGTCACTTCCAAAGCATCTTGTACTGTTAATAATTGCTGCTTCTTGTCTTGTATTTCTAAAATAGATGGTATAGAGAAGTAATTGTAATTCAAACTATATCTTCTCTTGTATTTAATATTAAATCTTCCAACTGAAAGGTGAGACAGGTATCCATCTGAAATACCAAATGGGCTTCCAGGTGTACCTAGAGCAAGTCTATCCCAAAGGTCTATGTAGTCACTACATTTTTTTTTACATTTCCTTCTTTTTAACTACATGCTGATAATATAGGAGTGAAACTACAAGAATCTATATTCTCATGCTTCTGGATTCTCAGTGAATCCAATGTAATACAATTGCAATCCAATCCAATGTAAGACAATGCAATATGACTTTCTTTTGTACTAATAGAAGTGAAGGGAACCTGTAGTTTCAGTGAGGTTGCACACAAGCAAAAAAAAGCTTTGTGCTTTAGCACAGACCTATTAAGGAACCATTTGGCAACAATATTTGGGATAATTTTTAGGTGCCTAAAATGAATGAACAGAAGAATACATGAAATGACTACCTGTTTTTATTTCATTTGAATGATATTTTAAAGAAAACAAGAAGCATATCAATGACGTAACACCATTGCAATTAGATCAGCAGTTAGAATGGATAGCAATAAGAAAATTTGTATTTAGATATAAATGTAATCCTTAAATTTTACCTTTGCTTGTTGCAATAAATTATTATATTTTATATTGTCCAAGATAGTCACTTTGTGCTTTATAAATTGAAAGCCTTTATATACCTGTCAATGAAAGAGATCAACAAATAAAAAGCCCTTCTCTGTCAAAATTTTAAAATATGACAAAATTTTAAAACATTGCTTACATCTTTAAGGCCAGTAGAAACCACCACAAACATTTTGTGGTGATTTTGATCTGTCACAATGGAATTTCAAGCCAGTCAAAAGAGCAAAATTTTATTCTAAGTTACAGAACATATTTAAAGAACTTATGTAAATTTGATATCCAGACTCAAAGTGATATACTCACTTTGAGACTCACCACCATATAAATGATTTATAATAAAATTACTGATAACATACATATACCTTACAGCTATTCTTACTTTCAATAATATTTTTCTAAGTTTTGCTCTGCTAAAATATTTCTGTTTTACTATAGAAACTCTTCTCTTATGAAAAATTAACCTTGGTTATTTTTGTTTCTCTTTTCCTCCCACCAACATGTAATCTTGGCATTGCATTTTTCCTACATAATGCATAAATCCTTCATAGCAGCTCATCACACTTGATGTTTGAAAAAAACATTCCAAAAGACATGTCTAATGCACATCAAGCAAGGATACAGTGGTTAGTAGTGATAGTACAAAAGGCAGGAAGTAACCAAATGAAAGAGTATCAATTAAAAGAATTATTTTCTTTTTTTCTTTAGTGAGGAATAATTTTTAAATAAATGCTGGTTCTAAAATGCTTCATTTGATTGTAACAAGAACAGCCACACAGCAAACCAAGAGCTTAAGCCTGATGTTGCAATTGACACCACAGAACAAATTCTTTATTTTCTTAGTTCTGGACCATGTTTGTGGTATATTTAGAATTTAACATTGTCTAAGTGTTATGCAGGTATGATAAAGACAAAGTTTACTAAAGAAGCTATGCAAACTCAATAGAAATTTCTACATTTTGTGATTTTTGAGAAACAGTCTGTGCTTCTCATGCCTAAATATGGAAAAAATACTTTTGTATAAGACATGTAAACTACAGTATTGGCAGTCTTGGATTTGCCTCCTATTTGGATGGATTTGGTGAAATACCTTGGGGTTTTCATATGTTAATATAAACAAATTGATTTATTGCCCTGTTCATGCTTCACGTTAATCATTTGAATAGTCTCATTGACACCAGGGGGATTAAAGCTAAACGAGTGCAACAGATCTACATGACTCGAGCTTTTACTGTGAGATTACAATTCATAATTACTTTAAGCAGTTTTAACTCTCTTGGTTTCTATTTTCCATTAATAAATTAGCATTCCAAAGGCTAGAGCTTG